CCCGTGCATGAATTTTGTGCACTGGGCCTCTAGTAAAAAATAATAGAGAGGTCTGGAAGATCATTAGAAAATATTAAAAACTGTTAAAAATTAAAACAATATTATTGGCTAGGTTATTAATGAATAAATATTTTATGTCTTCTATTTTTCAACATAAGAAAATAAGATAGGGGTTATTCCCCATGTTTATTTTTTTCTACTCTGCTGTTTTATAAGCTCTTACCATGAGTATTTATAAGTATGAATAAACAGAAGGACAAAAACACCATAAATTTGCTTGAGTCTTTTCTATTAAATTGGTTTCCCACAATTTGGGAGTAAGTCAATTTTGCACTGTGGCTCCTTTCCATCTATCTTAATAATGAGGAAAGACTGACAAAGAATCTTAAAAGAAAGCAGCAGTAAAAATTGATTGTTTTCCTACATACAAGTGTTGCAAAAAACAACAACAACAACAACAAAAATTAAATATGCAAGTTCTTGATTCGAAACGGCAATTCAGCCAAAGTTAGAAACTAAGAGAGACTAATAGGTCACTTTGACCATCTATTAAATTCATTCATTTATACTCTAAGACAGAACACTGCTTTCCCACTTTTATTTTACTCCCCCACTATGTAATCACTAAAAATTCAACTCTTTCATATCCAGGACCTACACCTAATTATAATTTAGAATAGCATTTATCCTAACCAAAAAAAAATTAAGTATGTTTTTATGGCTCACATGTTTATAACTGTTTGTGCTGCAATCAATAGAAATAATCCAATTCCATGAAATGAATAGGATAGTTGAAATAGTGAAATACATAATACCAGTACCTATTAATTTAATTCATATAAACACAAAATTTTTAATATTACTATTTTTAAAGCAACATTTCATAATGTGATTTGGGCAAAGTGATTACACACACACACACACACACACACACACTCTCACACACATATGGGTGAGCAAGAGTAGGTTTAGAGTTGTTTGCATGGAAAGACATATGCAGGTTATGACTATTACAATAGCTTTATTAACTCTGTTCAGCATACTCACAACTGTAAACCTACTTTTGTCCACCCCTGTATATATAATTAAAGCTAAATTTGAACTAACTTATCCTGATTGACACTCAATAACATTCAATTTCACTAGAAAATTTTTCACCTTCTAATTTAGTTTCTCTGTGAAGCTGAAGCTAAAAACAGCTCCTCACAGGTTTAATTACTGGCCAATTTCTAGACGTCTGTACTAAGCCTACACAGTAACAAGCTGATGCTAATAACCCATACATAAAGATCCTTCTTATTAAAATACAAATTAGGCCCCCCTCATGTTTATACTTGTGTAAGTACAATTAATATTGCAGGCTTAGTTGGAAATAAGACTGTTATAGTTAACCAACCATTGCAATACAATCAAATGAGATTTCAAATGCAATTGGAAAGATCCGTTCTATAGAAACAGCAGCAATTATTTCATGTGGAGCAATTAGTTTTCCAAATTCTTTTTTCCTTCTCCCACCTGCTCTTAAAAAAATAATTCGTCCATCATAAATGACCCGAAATGTCACCTTTAACACTCGTATGTTGTAAGGAGTCCTGAAAAGCAGCTGGCAGACATGGCTTATTTACAAATATGGTTTGAACTTGTAAATGCATGATCGCACAACTCTTAATCCATTTAGAGTGTATGCCCTTTATTCCCTTAATTGTACATTCAATTGGGAATTGAGCTGAGGGAGAGTGTGAATTACATGATCTGTTTCTTGTTGCCAGCATTTTAGTACTTTGCCTTTTGTTCTTGTTGTTCGTGAGACTTCTCTACATTACACAGTAGGGAAAGTTAATCAACATTTTGCCTAAGTAATATTAATAAAACTGTCCTACTTAGACTTGAGGGAAGAATCAGAATATTATATTTCTTTTTGAAATGTTAATGTACCTCTTAGGAAATTATTTCTGCCTTCTAAATCATCTTAGTGTTAAATTATTGAAGGATGGCATTAAAGAAATATTGCACTGATGCAAATAGTTAAATACCTCAAAAGATAAAAGTCTTATATAGTTTCAAAGAAGGACTTTTTTAAATAAGGTGGCATTTAACTTCAAATTAAACATTTTTAAGTGTTTAGTTAAGACATTGCTAAAATCTGCAATTGTTTTGTGAGCTCCCACAAAATAAGGGGAGATTTCATGGTGGTGATTTCTAAGTTCCAACCAGAGCCAGGCACAAATTTTAATTTGATTTGTATAAATGGCCTTGAAGTAGTTGCTTAACCTTTCTATATATGAACTGAAGCATCATCTAGTTTATCAACAACAACAAAAATAGGAAAAGGGGAAAAGTGTCTTATTTTTGCACTATTTACTTATTTGAGTCTGAAGGTTAGATGATCTTCATTCAGGTCCTATTCTTCAGATACAAAACCACCATTATCTGACCGTTCTATCAGCCATGGTATTTGAAAGGGAAGGACTCTTGTAAAGACGTTAGGTATGACTGACATGGTAAGATATGGAAAATATGAATTCTCAGTGTGCAAACTGTGACAGACACATGTCCCCTGAATATCGTTTTTCAAGAAGAACTCAAAAAATGAGTTGACAGGGCTCTAAAGTGGCCGAATCTGTTTTTTCTTTAACAATCTCTTTTAATGTCAATCAATATGTTCATATGTCCTAAATAAAGTGTGAGGTAATCTAGGGGGAAATTAAGAACAGAATTTGTTCAAGAATTCTCCACACTGTGACTACTATTTGCTAAGAACTCTTAACATTTACTGGGTAAAGTATTTCTTTTCTATTTTACCCTATAAGATTTAGGCATGGCTTTTGTGTCATTATGGGACTAATTTGTCCTCTTGCATAAATTTTCCTAGCAGTGATTCTCATTGGATATAGACAATGAGAAAATAGGTAATAGGAATTACATTTCAAGGTAATTTTTCCCACATTTTAACATCTGACAAGAAAGAATACAGATTCAAATTGCTGGTACATCATAATCTAATTGGCTTCTTTTTCATTTCTTAGCAATAAGTAAATGATAGAGTGCCTTACAAATAATTAGGGTTTGAATTCAATATAATATAGTAATAGCTAACACACATTGAAAGTTTTTGTGACATCTACAATGGTCACCTATTACTTCCATCAGGAGAAATAAATCATTGCCAAAATGTTAATTTAGTGTTAATCAGCTTGATATCAAAAAGTTCACAATATATCTGGGGGGAAAAACATTATATCCACAGAACAGTAACATAATAATTGAATAAAACAACACCAGTGATATAAAAGGCATTACTACATCCCTACTTGCCAAATTATTTTCAAACACATTGCTCCTTAGAGATCTAAAAATGACATACAACTAATCAATGACTATGTAAAATATTATCAAATTCCTTTAATTCAAAGAAAAGCTTTTTGAAAGCAATGGAATCTATATACAAAAGAAGCCAATCTGGATAAGCTTGATTTTGGGGTGCTCAGAATTACTTGTGATTTAAACTAAAACAGAACCAATTTTATTACAGCAATTCTAGGCAGAATATATGATCCAGCTTCACATCTATTATGTCTTACACAGGACTTTACTATGCCACCTAAAGAGGGGGAGGATTTGAAGATTAGTTAATCAAAAGGATACTTATTTGGGTAAATTACTTTGGCTGCATTTTTGTCTAATCAAAAAACAAAAATATTCAAGTTTCCTTTTATCTAAAAGTAACAACTACAATGTAAAATCTATATCGGATGAGTTTACAAATTGCCCTCAGTACTCAAAGGTTATCTTTTTAAATTTAATCATCAATTGTTTTCTTTATATATTATGGATGACAAATTGATCTTTTTTAACCTACCTATGTCAAACAATTGTGGACCAAGGCAGTATCTACATGATGCCAATAAATCAAGCAATATGATCAATTTATGGAAAGAATCAAACTGACAGTAGTGAGTCTCCACTTAGTAGACTAAGAGTTCAATAAATGAGTATATTTTCCTTTCATATACAGTATAATCATACAAACACAAAGGAAACATGCTAATTACAGAACCTCGATTTAGTGTTCTGTTGAAGCACAACTTTCTTAACATTCAAATTTGAGATTTAGGTTTGCAAAACATTCAAAGACAATTGAACAATACAATCAAACTGTTACTCATACTCGGTTCCTATTTTAACATGCTCAAAATGAACTGTCTATAATTTTTCTGTAATCAGACACTAAAAAATGTTCAATATAAGTGAAAAGTTCAAATATGTAGCAGAAATATTTTAACTGACTATTAAAGATAGACTTTTTCACTGTCCCCCTTAGCTGTAAGAAGACAGATAAGATATATACATAGATGATAGATGATAGACAGATGATAGGTAGGTAGATAGAAATCATTACAAGAATAATTTCTGCTATTTGTATAATTAGCACAATGAGTCTTGTTGAACAAAATAAGTTTATCAAAAAAAATACATGGAAAAGTTAATATAAGTTGGCATTTCTAAAAGTGGGCCAGAGTAGATGAAAGATTACTTCCAGCTAACATGGAGCAAATTAAATTTCAAGAGGTTTAATACATTTATTCTCACTTTAATCACATTGCCCACTATAAAGGTGATTATTATATGCAAGTCGCTTCTCACAAACTCAGAATTTTAAAATGTCACTTGTTTTTCAACTAATATATCTACAAAGTTTATTCAGATATTGTAATGTAATGTTATTTTTTACTGTAATTAATTTTATAAATACCTTTAAGTGTGGAAGAACATTTCAATGAACTCTTCTTTTAAAAAATATAGAACATAAGCAGGAACATTTGGAATAACTTAATTGGCCTTGATTATCGAAAAGCAATTTTTTTAAAGCAACAAACTATAGCTATATTTTGGTCCTATAAACCGTAAGATTTCATCACTAAATAATATTAATGGAATCATAACTATAAAGACACAGCACATCATTTATTTAAACCAATTGGTAAAAAAAGGGTCCTTACTGCAAAATCCTCCCTCCACTGGTGGGCTGCTTGAACTTTCTCTGCTTCCAAAGCCAGGCGCTGAAAAGAAAACAATAAATCTTAGAATGAAAATGACCACATGAATATGTAATCATTATATAGTCTTTGGGTTTTGAAATCACTTATGAAGACAAAAAAACAGAAGTGACTCCTTATTTATAATTCATAAAGTCTAAATGATTAAGTAATATAACCTACTGAAGTTGATAAACAGTACATGCATTTACCTTTTTAGTAATATAAGTAACGTACTACTCTTGAATACCATGAAGTTCATGGGCTCTGACATCATGGGCAGTAATGTCCCCTTCAAGTGCTTTCTATCAAAAACTAACATTTCAACCTGGGCAGTGTGGCTCAGAGGTCAGCCTATGAACCAGAAGGTCATGGTTCCATTCCTACAGGGCACATACCCAGGTCCCAGGCTTGATACCCAGTAGGGGGTGTGCAGGAGGCAGCCGATCAATAATTCTCTCTCATCATTGATGTTTCAATCTCTCTCTCCTTCCCCCTTCTTCTCTGAAATAAATAAAAATATATATAAGATATATAAATATATATAAATATATGTATATTTTTATTCATAAAATTTCTTCATTTCTGTAGATTCTCATTATATATATATATATATATATATATATATATATTTAAAAAAAAACGACTAACATTTTAGTTTTTAGAGAAAGCTTCAGTCAATAGAGTATTTTAATCTTGGTAGGTTGTGGTTAGTACATTCCTGTATAGAATATCTATAATAAAAAAGCATAAAATGCTAATTAGACCAGAAGTCCTTTCAGACAACCTTCCTGATGAAGCCAGGGCTGCGAGGAAAACCCGGGACCTGGGTGCCTGCTGGAGGCCGGAGGAAAGCCCAGGTCCCGGGTGCCAGAGAGAAGCCGGTGCCGGCATCTAGAGGAAGGAAGGTCTACTGTTGCACGAATTTCGTGCATCAGGCATCTAGTATTTCTATATAAGCAGAAAGGAAATGACATTGAAAAATCATTAAATATACACTAAGCATTGTACTAGGCACTTTGTTACTATCATATTTCATTGTTTTTATTTTACCAAAAGTCACAACAATGTGATACTGTCCACCTTGCTGAAGAACATTCTTAATAGTTCTTTCAGAGATAACCTGTGAGTAGTAGCAAGCTGTCACAATCGTCACACCTGAATATGGCTTCATTTACCTTCACTCTTATATACTAAATGAGTTAGAGAATTGTAGACTGACTTATTTCCCTAGGCTGATGATAAGATACCTATTGTCCATCTCCTAATCACTTTTTGTAGATATATTATTTTTTTCCTTCTCTGGTGTTTAGGTTTTTCTCTTTGTATTTCCTGGTGTTGCTATTATGTTCTCCATGTAATAAGGTTTTACAAGAGACAGGAACATTTAGTGATTAAGAGTAAAGAGATTAAGCCAGACTACCTGGGTTTAAATACCAACCCTGCTGCATACTAGCTGTACAAACTTAGAAAAAAATAAGTTTCTCCTCCCATTTTCTTATGTGAATAATGTGAGAATCTGCCTCATGGATTGTTCAAAGGATTAAATGAGTTATATATACAGTGCTGGGCAGAGAGGAAATGGTATGTATAACAGCTATGTAACTGTGAAGAGTAATTATGAATCTATTTGCACTGTGTCCATGTGGGAAAATAGCTTAGTGTGTGCATCTGTGGCCTGCCCTGCTTGCCCCCCGCCACCACCACCCCCAACACACACACACACACACACACACACACACACACACACACACACTCACACACACACAGATAAAAGACAATGGCAGAAAGAAACAGGACAAATATAACATCAAATGCAGGGTGTTCCAAAAACATGTAGACCAACTTTAACAGCTGATTACTCAATTTTCACTCCTTTCCAGGTTTAACTGATTTAAAAATAATGGGTGAAGCCACACTAAACTTTGAACACAGAAAATTTATCCACTAGACTTTTTTTATGGAGATACATAAAAGATAAAGTTTACAGTACAAAACAGGCAACAGTTGATGGATTGAGGGTGCACAGATACTGAATAAAATGATTCTTGATATTTGCGATTCCATTGCTTCCTGTTATCAGCAGTGCCAGACCAGACAGTCCTCAGTTAGAAAACAGGTGCTGCCTTAACCGGTTTGGCTCAGTGGATGGAGCGTTGGCCTGTGGACCAAAAGGTCCCAGGTTCGATTCCAGTCAAGGGCATGTACCTTGGTTGCAGGGACATCCCCAGTGGGGGGTGTGCAGGAGGCAGCTGATCGATGTTTCTCTCTCATCAATGTTTCTAACTCTCTATCACTTTCCTTCCTCTCTGTGAAAGAATCAATAAATATATATATATATATATATATATATATATATATATATATATATATCTTTCAAATAAAACAGGTGCGGGAAAAAAAATTCTCATTTCTGTAGATTCTCATAAATTGTTAAAATGGCCTGGCCAGCGTTGCTCAGTGGTTGAGCATTGACTTATGAACCAGGAGGACATGGTTCGATTCCCGATCATATGCCCAGGTTGCGGGCTCGATCCCCAGTGTGGGGTGTGAAGGAGGCAGCCAATCAATGTTTCTCTTTCATCATTGATATTTCTGTCTCTTTCTCCCTCTCCCTTCTTCTCTGCAATCATTAAAAATATACATTTAAATTTTGAAAATGAACTGTATGTTAATAAACACTGACTTTATGATCATTCAAAGTGTGTATACATTTTGGGGGGACCCCACGTAATCAATGTGAAGGTATTATACTCATTTACTAAGAGATAAATGATCAGGTTAGGTTCGTAAGAAGTACAAATCTCCTAGCGGTTCGCTGGTGCATGTGTTTAATGTTTCACAATGAACTATGCTTCAGAGTGTGCTCTTCCTAGCAAGTCCAGACTACACCGGAAAATGCAAACAACCTTTAGAGCAGCTTTTTTATATTGGTGTATTGACCTCTATTCCCTGCTATTTAATATAACCTGTTCATTTTTCTAACTATTATATAAGTATAATCCATGACTATAAACTATTAGCTAATGGAAGATCTCAATTTAAGAGTCCCTAAGCTGAATTAAGAGGAAATTGTCCAGCAATTTTAAATGACAAAGGTTTCGGCTATCAGCCACCAGGCACAAATGGGATGTAATAGGGGCTAGTAAACATTAGAAATTGTACCAGAGTAAACAAAAAAGGTTCTTTATTCTTTATCCCTACAAAAACAAATAACTAAACAGCAAAGTTAAAAGAATGCATACTCTTTAGTAACATTTCATCACACTACTTTTGGAAACTCAAATTCAGTGTGGAAATGTAGCAAAAAAAGTGAATAAGACAGCAGCAAATGAAATGGAAATGGAAGCAATTTCTTGATCAGAAAGAAAAGGCAGAATGAGAAGATAAACATCAAGTGATATTCTTGACAAATTCAAAGTGTAAGTCTTCCCTCATTTTTAACAGGTAATATAAGGTAATATTTTTAACAGCTGAACATTCATATGTATGGGGCACACAACAAACTTAAGTATTTTGTGGATTTAAAGAAAATACTGGATAAAATACAAATAAGTTAAATATTTTTTAGATTAAAAATATTAGAACTCTAAAATGCCTTTATGTCTTTGAGAAGAATATTAAGATTTTTTCCTTTCACAGTACACAGAAGAAGGATTGTTCCTCTACCCCCGCCAAACAAAACACACTGGGGGATATTCAGCCACAGGGAAATACAGTTTTTAAGGTAGGAGCTCAAACTCTACCACGCTGTTCTCTATTCTAGAGAGCATGAGAAAGGACAACTAAAGTGATCGGATCCAGAATCACATGGCTTATGATATAAACACAATCCATGCTTAATTAGCCACAATGACAGTAATCATTACAGTTTACTTCTAGAAAAAAAAAATTAAAGATGGATGAACAATAGCAACAAACTATAAGACAATTATCCTCCAGGGAAGAAAGCCCAAATTAGCTCTATTTCTAATATATGCTTTTAAACACTAATTTTATAAAATAAGTGCCATTTGTCACAAAATTCATAAATAGTTTTAGAAACTTAAAGACATATATAGGGTATCCCCCCAAAAGGATACACATATTTTGAATAATTATAAAGGCAATGTTTATTAAAATACATTTCATTTTCAAAATTGAGCTATCAGCTGTTAAAATGTGTATACATTTTTTTTGGGGGGGGCACGCTGTAGTTGGAGCATTGTCTGTACACTAGAAGGCTTTGGGTTCAACTCTTGGTCAGGTCGCATACTTAGGTTGTTGGTTTGATCCCAGGTCGGGGTGTGTATGGGAGGCAACTGATTAATGTTTCTCTCTCTCTTTCTCTCTTCCTTTCCCTCTCTAAAACATCAATGAAAATATCCTCAGGTGAAGAGGGAGGGAGGGAGGGAGGGAGGGAGGGAGGGAGGGAGGGAGGGAGGGAGGAAAGAAGGAAGGAAGGAAGGAAGGAAGGAAGGAAGGAAGAAAGGAAGGAAGGGAGAGAGGCAAAGTGTATTTTAAAAGGTTGGTTGAAGCTCAAAAATTGCTAAATTTTATATCCTTAGCTTGGAAATCTGAAAATACAGTTATGAAATGCACTAATAAAGAAATTAACAAAATATATTTTAATCCAGCAAATCTCATGATAAAGCATAACACTGAACTTTAGATGCTTAAATAGTCTATCTTGGGGACTAAAACAAATAGTTGCTGATGGTGATCTTTCTTGTGGCAAAAGACCAGCTAGTCATGACTTACAGAAAACTGACACTTCAAGTCCCTAATTAACTTCTATTCTGGTCAGGTGACATTTCTTTCTAAAGCCAATGATTGACCATTAAATGCCACAAGCAAATGTGTTAAGATTGATAAAATTCCTACCTAATAAAATGTGAACGTTTGCTTGGTAGAGTATCCCTGTTTCCATAGTTGGCTATATAAGTGTAGTCTATAACAATAATTTATTACAGGAAATATAATATTTTTCTCATTTAATTAATAGTAATAATATCAATCATTAAAATCAGACCAAGCACCAGATA